TTTCTATCCACAGTACTTTATTTGCTTCCGAACACAGAGGCACCTAGTAACAGCCTTAAAAGCAACAACTATTTCCTTTAACACCCTCTTGCGTTGTTCGTTTTTTGGAGTTCGGTTACAGATCCATCTTTAATACTCACATCACCACAGTCCCTACAAGAGCAAACTCTTCCACTCAAAGTGACCAAAGTGGTGCTGTTGGATGGGCTTACCATGAACTGCCTATTTCCCGAGGCTCACTCTCACACATGGGTCTGAAGTATGTCCACTTCTGTGCTCTCCTTAAGAATCAGGGATGCAATAAGACATTCGTCCTTATCGTCAGTGTCCAACGCATTCAAGTCGAAATCCTCTTTCAGTCTTCTACATGTTGTGTTCTCTTCAAGAGAAGTTTAAAGACTTTTGTGATTATACGGCTGCGATTGTTACCACAAAACCTCCATCCTGTTTGCAACGGAAGGAAATTATTTAAGTGGAAGAGTTTGTCCATCAAAATTGATCAAAAGGAGGGGTATTCATTCCTTTACCTCTCCTTCTCCTTTCACCCTCCTCCGTTCCCTCTTCCCGCCAGACCATAATCTTCCGTAGTGGGTGCATTGACAAAACGGACCATTAAGACACGTGGAATGCAATGCGTTTGCGTCTGTTTTCTTCCTTTCCATTCCTATCCACATTAAAAGTGCTAAAATACTGTGACAATAATGTGTTGTCATTTGCGTTGTCCTCGCTGCAATCACCATTAATGGGAATACTTTATGGCTTTTGTTGGGGAGGGGGGGGAAATAATTCAAGTCTCTAGTTTCCCATACTCGTTGGCATCACTATCCTTTCACCGTCTCTGAAAGAACATTTCAACATAAAGTCGGCAAAGTATTAGCAATATTTATTGATGCTAAATTCACTCGTCAAATGTCCATGAATTGGATCCTTTACATCTGACCACTTTGATGGAACTCTTCTAAGTCTAGATGTCTTTCAGTTGTAGAAGTGACAGACGAGAGCCTCCAAAGCAAGGAGAGGGAGGAGGAGGTGAAAAGGAGAGAGTTGTAGACTTTGAAAAGTAAGGAAGGTGACTGAGTGAGGAGACTGGAAGAATGTGGGAGAGAAAGTGCTTAGAGGAGTAGGAGGAGGATGTATTCCACATGGACTGTCTATTTAAGGCCCTTTCTGTGGGACGCATTCTCCCTCTCACCATCCTTCAAGAAATACGCTCCACTTTGGTGCATAACAACAAATCTACCAAAACAAAGCTATTCCACTTCCGAGGAAGTGATAGCGACAAACGAAGACCAATTTCAAAGGTTGTTATTCTCTTTCCATCGCTCTCATCCCTTTTATCCACCTTCGTGCATCATTACAATCACTTCATTCGTCCTCTTCTCCAGCACCTTCCTCTCTGCCTTTTTCACAGTTCAGTACTCACGTCATGGGTTGTATTAGTAACACCTTCCATCTGCCACCGGATGGGAGTGTGTCATGCCGACGTTGTCCAATGAGTTGGGTGAATGATGTGAGATGTGGGATAATAAATGTGGATTGCCGACTGCAGTAGGTTAAGGCAAGCATGGGGATGTGATGATGGGTTGTTTGAGACAAGGTAGGATGGATAAGGCAGTAATTCTGTCAAGTTTTGGAGCTCCTGATAGTATTGAATGACATCTCAAATCCTCAATGCCAATGGGATGGGCATTTGATTACCACGTCCTCGCCAGCTCGAGT